CCTGTTTCACCAGGGTATAAAAAAGGTAAAACACACGAGAAAAACCTTTGTCATCCATTACTATGGGGAAAGGAAAATAAAAGTGAAAAATGGTAGTCATTTTTCAGGTAATGATACAAAAATATTAAATATCCCACTTAGCACTATAAGGGCAATAATCAACAAGTTCAAAATGACCGAAACGGTAGTTAACCTACTAGGAAGAGGATGCAGGTCTATCTTGTCTCCACACACAGTGAGGCAAAAAACAATCCAAGGTCCCAGTTGGAGTCACTTGGTGTCACCAAGTTTTCTAATCATCAGTTAGACATTACATCCATGCTAACAGGCTATTTGGAAGAGTTGCCAGAAGAAAGCCCTTACTGACAACAAGAAACTGAATTGGCTGGAGTTTGCCAGATGAGTTTAATTGGAAACAGGTGCTACACTCAGATGTGAAGAAAATTGAACTCTCACACCACCAGCACATATGGAATCGGAGAGGGATGCATCCAAAGAAAAGAACCTTGTACCCACTGTGAAATATGTTGAGGTAGTGGGGCTGGTTTGCTGCCACTGGCTCTGGGGCACTTGTTAAGCTCAATGTACTAAGCATCAGGATATTGTGGTGAAAAACCTGGTTGCCTTTGCCAGAAGGCTGCAACCTGGTCGCAGGTGAACCTTCCAACATGACAATGACTCTAAACACGCCTCATAATCAACAAAGAAATAATTGACTGAAGACAATGGCCATCTCAGTCTCAGGACTTAAACCCACTTGAAAATCTGATGTCTGAATTGAAGAGAGCAGTCCGTACGTGTAGACTAACGACATCAAGGATCTGAAAAATGTCTGCATAGAGGAATGGGCCAAGAGAAGATGTGTTCTCCAATCTTATTAAACATTATAGGAAAAGGCTTTGTGCTGTTATCCACACCAGAGAGACAGGGGATCTAATCAATTTTGACAGTTATGCTTTTGAGAAAAAGTAGTAGTATTACTTATTTCTTATTTTGAAAAAAATAAATAATAATAAGGACATTGTAAAAGAGACAAAAGTCTCCTTTCATTAAGAGAGAAGGGGACAGTTCCCTGTGTCAGAATGCCAATCCATTACAGAAATTACCCCCCAACAATGCTGGTTCCCACTTATACCTCTGGATGGACTGGGGTGACTGGGGTGCAGCACCTCACTCAAGGTCCAACACCAGTGTCTGCAATGGAGACTTGAATCCACAACACACCAGTTTTAAGACCAAAGACTTGTTCACTCTGCTGGACTTCCCAAGGACACAGGAGTACTGTTGGAAAAATTGATCATTCTTTTTGTGGGTGCTCATTTATAGAAGCATATGTGAAAACAGTGACTAATGAAATAATTGTGGTTATATACTGTTTTGTGTCCAGTGCACAGACGCTGTGGACAGGTCTGTGTGATGACTGCATGTCTCTATCAGAGTGATGTGGGGCTCGTGGGTCGGTCTGTGTCATTTTTCTCCATGGCTGGCCTGGACTGCCCTGTCCTTTCTGGGCCACTCTGGAGAGAAGGACCATTCCCAGCAGACAGCTTTACTGTACTTTGCTGGACTGTACTTTGCAGACACCTTTCTGACAAAACTCCACATCTTGAACTGCAAAGGGGTAACAGGTGTGGGAATTCCAAAAAATTACATCATGGTGCCCCCTCGTCCATTGAAAAAAGTTCTGGCTTTTCCTGTGCCTGATTAACAGAGAGCATCATTCTGATTGACAAGGAAAGTGTTGTTTTGATATCTTATTATTTCCCCCTTAGCGCCCTTTGTAGTTCCGTCACGCCTGTCAAAAATCTTGTCCAAACATTGGCTCTCCCATCTGCTCTGGAAAGAGGTTTAAGAACTCCTAGGTGAACTGGAGAGACCTTGTGTTGACAAGACTCTGAATGATAATGCAAGGAGCTCTCACAGCATTTTGCAGAAAACTGTCAAAGGCAAATAGAAACGGGTTACTCTTTCTCCCCCCTTGACATTTATGCTCCGTGTCTTTGGCAGTAAAATCAGATTCATCTTGACAGAAAGATGTGTGGGACAGTAATTAAAACACTTTCTTTCCATCTTCTCTGTGTCATTGACAGAAAAGCTTTTGGTCAGCGTTGGTAGTTGTGTCGACAATGGCATCAGTGAGGAGCTCAAGCAGAGGAGCAGTGGGATTATGAGAAATATTGATTACTTGCAGTGTTCCTGTTCTGCCATCACATGCTGAACTAGCATCTGCATATGAAAGTTGAAAAGGTGTTTGAAAAGGATTATTCAGACGAGATTCAGCATCATAATGCTGCCCAAGGCCCTCAGCTGTGTTTGATATTTCAGAAAGGCGTAACGAATCTTATCTGTGCTTTTATTCCCTCTTGGTTCTCACAGTTGTTGAAGTGCTCATGGCTGTGGGAGAGGAATGTTTGATATATCCCATCATCAGTTACTGGCTGGGCTAGTGCTGATGGGTAGTGACAATAGACTGGTGTGCTGGTTTCCGGAGGCCATGAGCAAAGTCTTGCTCTGCTTAGCTCGGAGACCTGTCGTAAGAATAGTTACTCCACATCACCAGTCAGCACTGGGGAAATTGAAATCTTCTTTGCACACTGATGTGTGAAAGCTACAAAGCATATTTTAACTTCAGTGCCTTGAATTGGAAACGGTGTCCCATCGCTCTGTGAGTCATTTCCAAAGAGCAGCCTACACAGCTTCTCGGAAGACTCTCCTGCTCTTCTGTTTTCAAACAAGTACCCAGGGAAGCACTACAACCACACATGAGCTCTAAATTGGTTCAATTATGTAATTAATTAGTTCAATTAAGTAATTTAGAGTTAAATTGCAATGAAAGCCAGGAGTCCCAGTGCGTGTGTAGCATTGAGATGCTCATCCCAGCAGTGCACATTTTCCTGCAGGCTTGACGTCTCCCTGCGTGATGTCTCTGTGTTACTGATCTTATATTCCCTGGACTCAGCTCCTGTGGGCGATGCTGAGATAACCATTTCCTTGGCAGAGAATTTCTTTTTTCTTTCTTATTTATTTCTCTTTGTTCTTTTTCTGTCTTTGCTGTTGTTTTAGTTTGGTGCCTTGAGAATCATCTGCCTTGATCAATAGCCCACTGAACAGGACTGTGGTGTTGCTGATGCAGTTATTGTCATTTGTGTTTGAATGTTGGATGTTGCACTGAAGCCGGGCAGGTGTTTAAGATTCTCATTACCTGCAGTCTAATTTAGCACAGGCTAATGAGCCCATTCAAAGAGGCATCACTGCTCAGTGTTCCTGGACATGGCTATTAGTTAAAACTGGACCACAGAGAGGCAAGTGAATACTCTAATTACCTGCTGGGCGTTTGATGGTATACGCACTTAGTTTTGTGTCATGCTTTATTCCATCAAGGTTTGGGATTAATCGTCTAATTAGCCATGTTCCACAATAACAGATTCAGTGCTACCACTTGTTCCCCAAACGACAGATTCCATTACTCACTCCTCTTCTCCCTCCTCACAGGATGGCAGAGTAATTACAATCATTTACCACCACTTACAACATTGAATTTCATTTTTTCTTTTTCTTTCATTCCTTCTTTGCCTCTTTCAATCTACCCATTTGTTGATAGATGGGAGATTTTTCAGTGTTAAAAACTATGTATATACAGTACAGTGTGAGATGTATAGCTTGCAGTTCATGACGCTGCTGCCACAGGAACTTGAGAATAACAGATTGCAACATTTCTGCAGGTTTGAGCCATTTCTACTGGGGGCAGACAAGGGATATTGTAAAGATGTAGTAACAACACATTCATTTTTAGAGTTGTTGCAGTGTACAGTTGTCTATCCTATCATTTTGCCCCATGCTCTCTGACTTAGCTGTTCCTATTGCCTGTTTAATTAGATGAATGTAACATTTCTTTATTAATTTTTGTTAGTTTACTTGAATAGGGTTACATTACACTGCCATAACTCTTTCATAAACACTACGCAAGATCACAACATGCATAAAACCAAAATATAAATTCACTTTAACTTACTGTTACTGAGTTGCAGAAAGCCCTTGTCAGTTCTCAGGTCACTCTTAGGGTCTTCCATCAATTTCACCTCTTGTTTTTATACCTGGAGTTCTACTCTTAGCTTTTGGCTGAAGCTGTGTCTGATTATGAGCCATTATGAGTAATTGAGAAACCATAATGTCATTTGCACAAATGGATATAAATCATGATACGTGTTTTTTAAGTTGACAAGTTATGATGGTGTTATGTAACTCCACTCAATGAAGCAATACATGCAATGAAAAGCAACAAATACCAATGAAGCAATTTTATATAACAGCTATAGTTGATCTATAGTCTTCTGCCACCTTGGTCATGTATTTGGTCAGGCACTGAAAACTGTCAGTAAGTAAGGATGATGTTATTCAGGGCTGGTATAAAGCAGGTCCTCTACAAATTGGCACAAAGCCATGTCAGAGAGAAAAGTGGACGACAGTGATATCAAGGTTAGAGATTCCTGCAGACGTGATCATAGGTTGTATTGCTGCAGTGATTGCTTCATCACCACAATTGCTGACCGAACACACATTTTGTCATCTTACTGCTGTCACAGTAGGTATGTGGGTTTACCTGAAACATACCACCCCACAGCAGTCCAGCAATTGGACAGCGGTCTCTGATTGGACGTGGAAGAATGTCGTTTTTAGGATGCACACAGCAGAGCAGGTGTCTACATTTGTGTGCACCTTCATGTAACAGACACACTTGATGACATTGTCACTATTTTTTAAAGACAAAATGCTATGAGTGGGGGAAAAAAAACAAAGTGTTGGCTTATTGCGTTCATAACTTAAAATTCAGGACTAGTGAATTAATGGCATTTAAGATAACTCTACTTCAAAAAAACGCCCCTGTTGCACCTGCAGGTGAATCCAGGTGCAGTGCTAGTCTCTGTCAGGACTGCTGTGCTTCATTTCCTGTGGCCACACTGTAACCGCACCCATGCTGATGCCCCTCTGCCCTGTTGCAGGTCTTTGAGCGGATCCTGTTCATCTGGGCCATTCGCCACCCGGCCAGTGGCTACGTGCAGGGCATAAATGACCTGGTCACCCCCTTCTTCGTTGTCTTCCTCTCTGAGTTTGTCGGTAAGTCCTTCGCTGAATATAGTATAAGTTACAAAATGGTAGGATAGGCTCTGTGACTCTGCTTTGGATAAAGCAGTTAGAAAATGGATGGATGAATGGAGAATGTTATTTGTGAATAATAACAACATGGAAGTGACTGGCTTCCCAGGTGGCTTTGGATTACAGTTTGGTCCTGTGGTCCCCAAAGCGTGGGTCCCAACCTGGGATGGAGCAGACTGTGGCAGTTACTCCAGAAGTGGCTGCACTCAAATGGTGGATTGCAGCCGGTGTTGTAGTTTTGAATTGCTAAGGATGAGCTTGGCTCGCCCTGTAGCAGTGGCACCTGGAAAGAGGAGAAAGTGCAATGTTTTGTTGTAATAAAAATAATTCCCTGCATTTTGTTTATCATCTGTCATGCAGAGGATTCCCAGTGCACTTTAAATCTAGGGAAGGAGTCACTTTATCTTTCAGTGAAGTGCAGAAACCACTTGGGTGGTGCAGGGCAGCCATTCTTCATGAGCAAGTGAGAAAGTACTTCAGCAGGTCAGCTATTATAATTAAGCAGATTAGAGAGCCTGAACCTGAGCTAGAATGAAGGTCTCATTAAGGACACTGAGGTTTACTCTGGACACCCCTGCTCTTCTGAATATTTCTGTAAGTAGGCAGGATCTTAATTTTAAATCTAAAAATGCCATATACCCCATCTAAGCTGAGCCTACAGTCCTCTGCAGTGTGACCTGCAGTATCATGGCTTGAACAGTGTTAGACATGTGCTCCTCTTACATCTGCTCTTTTCCATCTGCACAAAGCAGGAGAGAGGTGATGTAGGACATGAGATGAGAACAGAACACTTTAGTATCTTGTTCGTTCTTAAGTCCAATACAAAGTAAGAAAAGGAGTTTCAGCCAACAATCCGCCTTTTTTTTCTCCTTTTTGACTCGCGTCTAATTTCCAGAAGAAAATGCGACACGACTCTCCTGCTGTCTCGGTGTGCAGTGGAGCTCTGTGTGATTGAGTAAGAGAGGGACTTGTGGAGCTGTCGGACTCGAGCCCTGAGGCTGTTTGAGAGCTCATTCCAAATTTGTCTTCCATTTCAGAGTAAATACCTGTGTGTCTAACATGGTTTTGCCTAATAACAAAAGTCTGTGGTAGTTTGCAAGACATCAGTGACAAAATGAAATGCAAATGCTGTTCAGACATTGTCTAACTGTAGCCTCTAAACAGATTTATTGTGCTGTGTTCAATCAGGCCATTTTTAAAGCATGCAGTTGAGGAGTGTCATGCCTATTTCTTCCACAGTCTGTAGTAATAGTTAAAAACAAGGGGTTTTATTTGTGTTTAGGCACTCAAAAGGGTTTCAGGACTGGCCTGGTCATAGCCTCCCCAGTACTCCCCAGTAGAAACACCTGAGTGCTCTGTGCTTGTGAGCAGAGAGCTGAGACAACTGTGTCTCTTGTGCCTGGAAAGATATCTGTGCTTCAGATGGAGTTTGTTCTGTCCTGTATCATAACTGCCAGAGGGTGTTATATGAAGCAGCCGGCACTAGAGAGAGGGACCATTAACACCCATGTCAAAATAAGACAAACCACACTTACTGTAATAGAAAAAAGCTCAATTTCTCCTGGAAATCAGACAAAGCGTGAACTCCATCTGTCTGTAGAGGGCTCAGTGTCGTGTGGATTGAAGGCCTGGTGCTCATTGCCGTTTGTGGATTGAAATTACAGCTTTCTTCAGACTGTGACTTAGGATACTCTGTCATTCCAGACAAGAGTGGATAAACATATCAGATGCTTCTTTTTGTTTTTAACCTTTGTTACCAAAGTATTTTATTCCTGCAGGTGAATGTCCTAATTAAAAAGGCACACTTCATTTTTTAACATCTTAAAAATAGACAGACTCTCTCTATTGCTCTGACTGGGGTGTCGTTGACTTTTCTTGGCCCAGTCTATTAGCCTGCATTTGCCAGTACTCTGGTGACACACGCAACTTGACTCTTTTTCCTTTCTTTTTTTTTAATTCTCTGCAAGGTTAATTACTTATAGATAGTTAAGGATTAGCGTAGAACAAAGGCATTCCAGTACAAATGAATTGATCTCATCCAGTCTTTACCACCCCTGAAATGTCATTAGTTTACACACAGAAAGATTACCCCTACACCGATCAATGACATGGCTTGTTTTTTCCATCTTACTTTCTTCTTCTCTCCCTAAACCCATTATTGAAAAGTAGATTTTTCACACTGGCGCCTCCCCCCTCTGTTTGATTCCGGGTTTGTTTTTTCCAGTTTAAAGCAGGGCCTGGGATGCATGGCCAGAGAGCCTGTAGTCAATAATTCAAGTACAATGAGTTGCATTGATCCAGGGATTTATCTGTTTACAGAGCAGGCTGATGGGGAGGCAGAGGGGCTTTGGCCAAGATCAATTGTGGCGAATGATACTTCTAATCCTAACATGCTTCTCTAAAAGGCAAAAGGTGAAGGGCTTCTGGCATCTTGCGTTTTGTGTTTATTAATCTTTGTGTATTAAGAAATGCAGCCATGTTAATGCAATATTATGTAGTACCTCGTGAAGCACACATCCATTTTCTTTTCTTATTATGCAATGTAGGAATCAAATGTTCTTCCACCTGTTCTGGATACTTTTTCCTCTGATTTTCATTGACCTATCCTCCCATATTTGTCTTCCTTCAGTATTCTTCAACTTTCTTTTCCTTTTATTTCTGGTGCAGTTCGTTCCTTGTTCTGCAGCTGCAGGCTGATGTCTGATTCTCTCGACTCTTTTCTTAGACTCTCTCTGAGTTTCTCCCACAGACCCCGTCATGCTCTCACCCACATCATATGCTTGGTGTCTGTGAGCTCCTTTGTTTTCCTCTTGTCTGTGTAATTTATTTGCAAGCTTAATGATCCCTTATAGCAGATGCTTGTGTGAAGTTATTTGCTCCACAGAGGCAGTTAAAGGAACCCCGATGACAGGAGAAGCTTGAGTTTGTTTTTCTTTGCTTTAATGGCCTGCTTGAGTGTGACTGCAGCCCAAGAGCAACAACATAGTGTTTGTTTTGTCATCACCTGCTTGTAACAATTTATTTCAAGGAGCTGTGTGGATCTGCAGGGTAACACACACATTAAGGGGGGGAAAACAAATACATACAGTACAGACACAAACATGCACCTGAGATGAGCACATCTGCTTTTTTTAGCCCGACTGGACTCTGCAGTAAGTGGGCTCATTGCAAATTGTCACAGACTTAGAGGTAATGTCGCTTTGACAAAACACAAAGCATGAAATGGAGCAGGGCAGACACGGCCAGACTTTTGAGGTCGGCGTACACTTTGTGCAGAAACTGTACTTGTGTGAGATCTCTAACCCACACAACTTCAAGTTTGTATTTCTGTTCTTGTGAGGACATCATCCTTGACTCCCGGTGAATGGAGGCACGAAACATTTCTTGGCGTTACTATCTTGACACAGATATTTTCTCAGATTTAATCTTCACAAATGTTGTACTACCTGTGCACACTCTCATTCTCGCTGAGATAACCGGGGTTCGGTTGGAGCTCAAGGCTGTAAACCTGCCTTGTGGGCCTCTGGGGGAGACAACCCATCATGAGTCCTGGAATCCTTAGATGGTCGAAATCAGAGACGATTTCCCCTGGAATGCTGATGAAGATGAGTGTACACACCTTACAGAGTGCTTGCCTACAGGATGGGTGCCTTCATTCATTAGTCTAATTTGTAACACAAATTTGTATACTCAAACTGTTATTTTGACCCATACCCCAGAACTCACTCACTTGCTGTTATTACTACAGCTATTTGTTTGCATGCTTTTCTTCAAGATTACAGAGCATTTATTATTTGCAGTAATAAATGTTAATTGGATTATCAGTACAAAGCATGTACGTTTAAGAAGTTATTAAACTAGACATGAAAATGTACTACGTGTGTGTAAATAAACGTGTTTTACTGAAGCAGCATCTGCAGGGTCCCGGGTTAGATTACAACACCAGGCGACCATCTGTGTGGAGTCTGCATGGTTGCTTTCCCTTTCGTTGTTTAGGGTTTGGCCTTGTTCTCTGGTTTCTGCCCACCTCCCCAAGATGTGGAGGAGAGGTTAAATTGGCTTCTGTTAGTTGTACCCCTGGGGTTTATCCCCATGGTTAAGGTAGCTGTGCTCCCCACTTCATTGCCTACCTGTGAGGCTTTGGTGCCTCTCTTGCTGTATAGCCAGCTCTGGTTATGTGACTACTGGTGAAAAGCTGGCTTTGCTTTTAAGATCGAGTCATTTTAATGTGAACTGCCTCTGATGCACTCCTAACTAAAGCTGCTGGTTCTGTGACATCAGGGCTGTAGAATGTAGATGAATAGCTGTCTGGCTAGCGTTTGATCCCACAGGGTAATATCTAGACTGTACTTCCTTGCTTATCTGCCTATTAACACCCTGTCTTCTAGAAAGATCACTACAGCTATGACCTTAGTTTTATATTACCCCGTGTATAAGATAATACCAGAATGATGTGAAGATTTTTGACACACGCATGCATTGTGTGTATATATTCTATGTGTGTAATAAAAGATTAGCAGTGTGCATCAATCTAGTTTTCAATTTCACACATGCAAACGGTAGAAAGAAAAAAAAAACAAATGGGCAATTTCAGTGTAATCTCCGATTATATTTCAGAGACATAATTGTGAGAGTGAAGAAAAGACCTTCTAGCTGTTATATACCATCTAAGATGTTTCTTATGATGAAATTGTTTCTGATACTATCACTTTTACTTGTAGCAAGAGGCACTGTAATCATGTTACAGTGTTGTTCAAGGGCACTGGCAGGATTTCAGTGGAAGCCTAAAAACTATTTCATAGGCTACCGAAAGCTTCGGAAGCCTATGAAATCTGAAAGCCTATGGCTTCCGAAAGCCACCAAAATGAGAGGTGGCTGTCTCTCCAAGAAAGTATAAAAAGTCATATGTTGACCACTCATTTTGATATGAAGTTCTGTTGGGTTCTATGCAGAATCAGCCT